GGGGAGATGATTGATAGGATTGAATATCACGTAGATCAGTCCGTCGAATATGTCGGCAAAGCTATGGAGGACACTAAAAAGGCACTTAAGTATCAAAGCAAAGCACGCAAGGTGAGTAACCTGCTGAATTTTCACTTTTTATATCATCATTGCAGCTAGATGCTAATGTATTTTTTCTTTCTCTTTTTTCACCCTTATTTCCTACATATATATTTGACCCATCCTTATTATCCCTCGTACAATATTTCTTACTGATAATCTGCACGACTCTCTTCTGCATGCTGTATTCTTGCAATGCAAAAATCCACTGGATGTACCTTTACTTTCTGATCTTTTTTGTAATGGGCTTGGTAATTTGTCATATATGTTCTACTTTCACTTGTTGTTTTGCATGTTCACTGCACTCTTGCATCTGGCATGGACAAACTAATACTTCATTATGCTCTCTATACATTTAACCCCTCTATGTTGACTGTTTGTAATGATTTCAACAATTAATTCATTGTGATTGTTTCCTGTTACTAATGCCTTATTAATATTCTGCAACTGTTTCCCCCTCTGATGTTTACTCATCTTGCAACTATTAAAACCAAACACCTCTTACAATTGAAACTATTAAATGATCTTAACCACTGAAACAACAACAATGTGTGATGACTGTTTCCCGGTGCTTGTTTCTGTTTATCTGGGTATTAATGGCTTCCAAACACATGACTGCCGCCTCTCCCCTATATAACCTCTGTTATCTCCTACAAACACTTGACTGCCATGTCTTTCCCTGTATATCCTCTTGGTACCTTTAACAAAATAATTTCTTTGGTACATCCTCCATCCTATTTTCAATGATTTGTTATGGTAATAACATTCTGTTTACCCTGTCCATTCCTCAATCTTCGTGTGATCCCTCCTTGGATATTTATTGTCCAATATTTGTATCCTTCATCAACCCTATTTCCTTATTCCTGCAAAATAACATTTGTCCTTTGTGATCAACATTTTGTAAAGTCCTCTTTCTTACGTCTTGGGTTTATTTGGTTTCTTATTCTACACTGCCACTTGTCTCCTCAACCATGTCTTGTTTCCTAACCTTCTCTGTTATCTTTTTGTGTTTTGCCTATCTCTGTTGTCTTGACTCCTTTCCCCAACTTGTACCAACCCTATCCTGATATCCTTGATCCTGTCCTGCATCCTGCACAATCCTCCTTCCCCCATACACCCCATCCCCTGGCCACAACTACAGGGTGAACTGATGAATAGGATTGAGAATCACGTACAGGAAGCACAGGACTATGTCGACACAGCCAAACAGGATACAAAGAAAGCCATCAGATACCAAAGCAAAGCACGGCGGGTAAGTAGCACAAGAGAAGTAATGATATTAAAATGGGTGTGGACAGCTGCTGTGGCTGAGGTGCTTGGTCATTGTTATCGCTTGATCTCTTTGTTTTCTCATTTCCTTTGGGTGTCTTAATAAATTTGTGTTCTTCTGTTCTTATCATTCTGTATTTTCTTGAGGGCCCTCTTTAGTTGTAGATGTGACTTGATCAGTGACTGGTGCTTGAAGTAAATTTGGGCTAATGGGTGTTCATAAAGCATATCATATATGGACTTGGACTGATCTTGGCACAAGCTTAAATTTAAGCCAGAGTAGTGTTAATATACTTTTTTTCCACTGGAAAACCTTTCCTCATATTTTCTGTATGGATGAACAAGACTCGTCTTTCTTAATTTTCTCTTTGTGTTCGGATTTTTTCATTTTTTCACCACTTCATAACTGGTATTAGGCTATTAAAGTGGTATCACAAGTACTGAATGGTGTGTGGCCCTCTTGTGAACTATGTGGGAGATGGTTGTTGTCTAGTGTGGCTTAGCTTTATAATAGAGATAGTACTGTATGTCACTGTCGACAGAATGCTCTTAAGTGGCTATTTTTTTCTCCTTTTTTTTTGTTTTTGTTTTTTGTTTGGAGGGGTATGGGCTTAATCACCTGTTTTTTTCTTTTCACTTTTATATTATTTATAGTTACTAGTGCTGTCATAGCTCTTGTAGTTGATGTTTTCTTGAAATTAATTTGGTTTTAAAACAAGTAATTTGACTCATATTATTGATGGTGAAGTTTTAGAGTATATATATATATATATATCTATAACATAGATAAAAGTAAGAATTTAGTAATTTGTGTCCCATCATTGAGATAAACAAATCCCAATGTTGTCATTATATTTGTGAATGTATTTTAAAATCCTATAATTTTGATAAATAGTTACTGTATATGAGTAGCCTTTTTGTTACTATAGTGATAGATACTTGCACCATACCCATTATTATTTATTTTGTAATTCCCCTTTTTCTTTTCTCTCCACAGAAGAAAATTATGATCATCATATGTGTTATAGTTCTGTTATTAGTTGTTGCTCTAATTTTAGGATTAATTTTTTCCTAGAGCAGGTAGTTATAGTAGTGGATGTTGAGAGCCTGACCAGGTAGTTCTGATCATGTAGGTACTATCCCATGGTTGTACCATGCTCATAGGCAAGGCTAGGCCTATTGATTTTGTTGGGTCCTTCAAGAGACTTCCTGTTTGGAACATTGTTTGGCCTCTTTATTTAAATCACTGAGCATATTAAGGAGTGTCTCAAAATTGTTAAGAGCAATATTTACATCATTTAAAGAGAAATTAGTGGATATTGCCCCTGTGTTATAATGTCTTGACATGGGAGTCAATCAGCTGAAACTGCCCCTGGATTACGTCTTGACTTTGGAGTGATGAACTCTTCAAATTAATTTTAACATTAGCACAACAGTTTGTATAGGTTTTATTGACTAGCAGTTTGGTTGTTCAAGACTTCAGGTTTTAGTAGTTACGAATGTATTACAAGTAATATACATGTGGAATAAAAACCATGCATTTGATGTGGATCATTTGGGTTCAGTAACTGTGCCAGGGAGTTTACTGCCTCCAAAAATTTCTTTCCCAGATAAGTCTTCCCCAGTGACAGGTGATGCGTGTAGTAGATAGAAGCCTTTTATGAACTCGTACAATTTTTTTGTAAAAGTATATTTCAGAGGAATATTTCATATGATTGCAACCAAAGCTTAAAAAAACAAATATAGCTCTTATAGGTAAAGAACCATGGTGTTAAAATACCTGTATGGAAGCGGCTGCAGAGCATATGTGTGCCAAATGTATAATAATTTTGATATTTTGGTGATTCGTCACACTTGAGCAGCAAGCGTGTGAAGACTACTCTAACAAGGGCCAGTGTGCAAGACATATTTGATTGATGGTCATAGTGGAAATTTGGTGCGAGTGTTATCTAGTCCACACTGTGGGGTTAATAACTTGGCTACATGACTGCTCATTTATGAATTGGGTTTTGTACAACCTAACTCCAAGAAATCATTCTTGAAGACCTGGTTGGGTAGCTAACATCATGGACACAAATAACCCCCATGTGTTGTTGATTCATAGACTTGTTGCTTTTGTCATCAATTCCATCTGAACGGGTAAATTTAAGGGTTTCACGCAGTTATTATCAAGACTCCCAAGTCTTTCATTTTTATCATCCTAGTTTTTGTAATTGTATAATTTTTGTATTTAAAAGTATTTTAGCAAGTACGAATGTTATTGTGTTGTTTATATACAACTTAAAACAAAAATTTTGAACTTGCAAATGCTTATATTGTTATAAAGCCAGATTAATTGACAGCCAAAGGCTAATAGTTAACTTTTCTAAGATACTTTACAACAAATACATGTGCATAATTTGCTAGGTAGAATTTTGTTTAAACTGCTTGATCTTTTAAAACAGATAAGAAAGGATTGATGACAGATTAGTTAAGAAAGTACATTATTGTTTCATGTATCTTTATTACTTGTTCATTTTCTTTTCTAAGAATATTTATATATCCACAAAGAAGCCAAATAAATGTAGTCAGACTGGAGTTGTCATGTCATAATCTCTAATTAGGGAAGATCTAATAATTTGTATACAAAATTCATTACAGTGTTTATTTATAATTGCAGATATTTAATGTATGAACTAAAGTACCAGTATTAACGTCGGCATTGCACTGAGTTTTCTTACAGGAAAAATAACATTATTATTATTATTATTATTATTATTATTATTTAAAATAATAATAATAATCATAATTTCACAATTTCATGGGACAGAAAGACAACAATTCCATGGAAAATTAGAGCAATGAAAAAAATGATCAAAGATCCTCAGACACACACTCATCCATTCATCATGTCTTCCAAGCTAGCCACTATTATGTTGACACAGCAAAATCACTCCAGAGAAACATTCGCAGCAGTACTCCACTGCTTGTTATGACTAGGTGTAGCGTTTCTCAGGATTCGTCTATGACATTACGAAATGTTAAATTGTCACTTCCGTAGAAAGTTGGTGTGAGTGTTATCTAGTCCGCATTAGGCTTAACCCCCTAAGCCCCCCCCCCCACCCACCATGTAGTATGTTGTTCTCACTCGATTCTCGCTTCATCACACCCTTGCCTTGTCTGTCTATATTTTTTTTCTGCTTCTGTCTTATTAAAACTTGCTTGAGCACACACTTAACCATCTTTTCGTCATTCATTTGTTAAAAAATTATCACACCATGTTGATACACTCTTTGCATTCATACAATTTACTGACTTTTAGACCCACTATAATTCCTTGGCATTTTTTATTCCTTACTGTCCTATCCTCTTAACACCCCAGATGCATCTTGGATTGTCTATTTACTACTGTTCTAACTCTTTATCTGTATGGTCCTGCCATACCAGCATCTGATATCTATATGCTATGTACTTCCCTGGATTTCATTGTGCCAGTCACTTTTTTTCCTTGACTTGCTCTATTTGTGTAACTTCTTCAACACAAGATATTTTTGTCAATTACAGAGCCAAGTGTTTAAAGTGGTGGACCATTTCTAGGGCTTTCCTATTTACCCCTATTTCACACACGTGTTTTGTTCTCTCCCCACCTTATACTGTGAGTTTATTTGCTAAATAAGTTTTGCAATCTCATTTCCAGCAGAGGCTTATGAATGTCAATATGAATATGTTGAATTTTTGTCACTCGTGTTCTTTATGACTACTACTATGTAGAGTAGTGTTTATTCTTGGTTATCTTGAAGTAATATTTTCTTAAACTGGAATGCAAACATTGTAATTCAGGGCTGAATTATGTGATATACTTTTAAGAAACTGGGTCACACTTTTTGTAGCAATGAAGTTTTTGTCCAGTGTTAAAAAATAAAAATAAAAATAATGGTATCGGTAAAGAAAGAATGACATTGGGCTTCAGCAGTGAAATGTTTGCAGAGAATATGGAGTGTCATTTCTTTATTTTTATTCAAGAACACAAGTTTCTCTTTCATGTATGGTTTTATGGTTATGGTGATAAAGGTCTTTCTAATGGTGGTACTCTATTAGTGGTTAAAGGCTGTCTTTTTCTGTATGCTTTGTATCTAGTGCTTCTAATGCAGCTACAAAGATTTCTTGGTGCATGCATTTCATGAGTGTAGTGCTTTTGAGTAGTGAGCAACAGCAAAAATCATTAAACACTGCATGAGACAATGTCTGTCATTGAAAGCGTGACAGTGAAAAATGACACCAAAACTGGTGTTTATGAATTATATTATTAAAGAAATTGCAATATTTTTTCTTGAGTTAAATTATATTTTTTGTCAAATGGGTAATGGATGAGCTATTTGCAGAAATACTACTAGATAGACCCAAGTATACTTGTATATCAAGCTGATATGGCTTTTTGTTTCGGAAAAAATTATTTTAATTGATAACTTTGGGGTTTTTGTGTCTGATACATAAATTATCTAAATATCATTTTAGAATAGATTATATTGCTATTATGCTGCATTTGCTTGAATTTTTAGATATATATATATATATATATATTTTTTTTTTTTTTTAAAGAACTTTGGTTAATACTAAATTATGAAAAGGGAAAAATAATAATGTTTTGGTCCAGCCAAGACCAAATGTCATGTAGACATTTAATAATGATCTAGGATGGACCGTAACATTACCATTCATATAGGGAGGTTTAGGGTTTATTATGTGTATCTGTGTGTATCCCTCCGCTGTATTCAGTGCAGTGTGTGCTGTATGTATCCTCTCCTGCATTCAATGTGGTATCTCTCCTGTGTGTATCCTCTCCTGCATTCAGTATGGTATCTCTCCTGTGTGTATCCTCTCCTGCATTCAGTATGGTATCTCTCCTGTGTGTATCCTCTCCTGCATTCAATGTGGTATCTCACCTGTGTGTATCCTCTCCTACATTCAGTGTGGTATCTCGCCTGTGTGTATCCTCTCCTGGATTCAATGTGGTATCTCACCTGTGTGTCTCCCCCCTCTTCTGCATATATTACTAGTGTGTATCATCATCTGTATTCAGTGTATCTCATCTGTGTATATTCTCTCCTGCATTCAGTACAGTCACTCTGTTTTTACCCTCTCCTGTATTCTGTGGTATGTGTGTGTGGGGTGTACCCTCTCCTGTATTCTGTGGTATGTGTGTGTGGGGTGTACCCTCTCCTGTATTCTGTGGTATGTGTGTGTGGGGTGTACCCTCTCCTATATTCTGTGGTGTATGCCTTCTCCTGTATCTTGTGTGGTGTGTCTCCTCTGTTTTGTGGTGTCAGCTGCATGTATCTGCTCTTGTATTATGTGTGCACTGTCACATCTCTCTCCCATAGTCTGTGTTGTTTCATCTCTTCTGTATTCGGTGTGATGTGTATCCTCACCTGTATTCAGTGCAGTATGTCTACTTTATGTACCCCTCTCCTGTAATGAGTTATGTGTAAGCTGCATGTACCCTCTCTTGTATTTAGTGCAGGGTGTCAGCTTTGATTAAAAAGTAAATATGCTCAGCAAATTATTATTTATCAGTAAGGACTTAATTTATATTTGTATTTGCTGCTTTTTTGTATTGGTTAATATTTCAGTTATTTTAAATTTATTTATAATTTCAGCATCTAAAGTTCTGCATGGGTAATACTTATTACATTGCATATTTAGTTAGCTATGTTGCATTTATTTTTCCCATCACTTGCTCATTTACACTTTAAATAATGAGCTAATATTCCAACAAATTTTTATTCATTCTTTTGATGAATGTAGTACATATTGCAGCACAAAACTTACATCCTTGCTTACCTTGGTTCCTCTTGCAGAAAAGGTTGATATGCATGTTCATTGGCATTGGCATCTTGTTACTCTTAACAGTTATTCTGGCTGTCTACTTCTCAAGATACCCATCTAAATCCAGTCATACAGAAGGCACCACCCATCCTAGTAATTAGCAGCAAAGACTGGATTGGTTTTCAAGTACAAGATTGAGTGGCATTCCATCTCTGGAAGCTGTTCTACTTAAACTGTTCTCGTTGTACTTGAAATAAATTATTGATAATGTCTTCTCGACTTTAAATAGTATAGTTTTAGTAGCTTTATGCACATGTGAGCATAATCAAGTTTCAACAAGCAAGACATTTGTTAATATTTTTAGAAGTACCTGATATCTGTGTATTGTGTAATCATGGCAGCCTTTTGAAACTTGTGTGGTTCCTAGTTTGCTTGGATGTGAGCAAGGGAGTTATTAGTGTTCTCTACATATTCTTTCATCTGGTCCATGCCGAGGCTTTTAATTCTCTTTTCAGTTCCTTTGTCAGGTCTGTAATGTATATTTCATAAAAGATAGCTACAGAAGTAAGTAATAAATTTCTTAGAAATCGTATAAATCCTTCGGTTCTTTTCCTTGGGGAAGCAGCTGTGTTAAAATATTTGTACTTTATATTTATATATGTGTGTATCTGTCAAGTGAGAAGTACACAAATAATAATTGGAGTATGGTTCTCAAGGAATAACTTAGTTTATAGGGTAGAGTTAGGGATCCCTTGTTTAAGGAGTCTAAGAATATAACATTGCAGAGTTAGAACGAACTTTTTTTTTTTTTTTTTAATGCTGTGTATACTGTAGACACACACTGGGTTTCTGACGAAGCAGACCCTGTGATTAAATTAATGGGATGCATTCGTACCAAGTTGATGGGGCAATGACTATTGTTTACATCTTGTCTCCAGTCTATTTGCGAGTGACAACTTCAGTCTGATCAGTTCAGTTTTAGTATTCAGTTCTCAATTATTTAGTGCAGTATGGTATTTTGTAAGGAGAAAAATATGTATATATTGTTAAATATTTTATTTATTTTAATTTTTTATAATTTTTTTTATTTTTTTTTGTACATGGAGATACATTATTTGTTTTTAGGTTGTGAGGGAAAGGATTTATGCAGATGTACAGAATATTTTGTTTATACAAAATGTTATTTGTCTTCATTATAAAAGAAATTATATTCGCATTGCATCATGCCGCACTTCCTTACACTCACTACACTACTCCTGATTATTAAAACATTAATGTGTTAATTTTTAAAATACTATTCTGTTTTTAAATTGGTTAATTTTGGCAAACAAATATGTATACAGTATTTTATATACAGTATATATATATATATACTGTATTTATATTTTAGTACATTTTGGGAGCAGGTTTTCTCTAATACAAATGTCATTAAACACAACAACATTGTCAATATTATTATTTTTCTTTTGGATATATTTTCTATTCTATGCAAATATCTTCTACCATCTTGAGGGTTAAGAAACAGTAGATCACTTAATCTTTCCATTTTTATTGTTCGACGTTCTGTTAGCAATGTGACATCTTCAGGAGTACACTCTTTAACACTAACACAGCTATACTGAGCTTACAAGGATTTGTTATTAAAGATGGTGGTGTGATATGGTGAAGCAACATCATTCTCATTACCACAACACTATCCTGAATCGCCAAGACATAGTGAAAGATACGACAGTACAGTAATCACGTGCATTAACGATCATAGGAGGCTTCGTATACTGGAGGCTGCATTCATTCGGGAACCTGACAACAGTAATAAACATCTAGGTGAATTTGACTTCGAGCATACAACTGTTTGATGGTCCTCCATTGACCAAGAGGGAAGATGTAAGACCTGGTGGGCAGCTAGAAGCTGGAGTCAGGCAACAATCACCTCACACTGCTCTTCGCTGCTCCCTATGATTAAGGAGGTTAGGTGAATCGTAGAATGAGGTGTACCCACACTTATAAATGTCTAAGATTTCTCCTTGTAAGCTTAGCAAGCTTACAGGCTCACTATAGCCCGTGCTACATGGATATTTCTTTCTGAATAGCTAAATCTAAAACAACAGCCTTGTAAGCTCATTATAGCTGTGTTAGTGCAACATGAAGATGTCACATTGCTGACAAAATGTCGAACAATAAAAATGGAAAGTTTAAGTGATCTAGTGTTTCTTCACCTTCCAGATGGTAGAAGATATTTGTGTAGAATAAAAAATATCCAAAAGAAAATTAGTACGAGTCAAAATGCCGTTGTGTTTAATGACATGTGTCTTAGAGAAAACTTATATATTGATATATATATATTATATATATATAATTAAAATAAAATACACACACATTGTATATTGCTTAGTTTGTGCTGGAGCAAAGCTTCAAATTGATGAGGCACTATATTTGTGATACAGAAGTGTAATGTGATGATTACCATTAACTTGTCCCGAGATCTTCCAACGTATCATGTATAAGATAAAATAATGGACTTTTTAATACATTTCACATTTATATTTAAGAGATTCCAGTAGTGATATATTGTTCGAATTTATTGATTTTAATTTTATTAATTTCTCCATAGTTTAATAGCTTTGTAACATTGTCAGCATTTTCTCCCCCATGAATATGTCACCATATCACCCGTTGCGTTCAGTTACGCTTGATATCATCACATCATCAAAGTGAGAAGTTTTAAAGTTCATTCAATGTTTTCCCTATTCCCCTATTTAGGAAGTTTGAGAGGGGAATATTTCCAGCTGCCGAAAGCTTCCATGCAACTGATATGTCATACTGTATGTAGATATTAGGTGAAATGTCTAAGTAGTAGTCAGCTCGCATAGCTTGTTTATATTAGGTCAACACATGGAAATTTATTGCAAGTGCCAAGTAGGTACATAGGTAGACTGTAGGTTAGATAGAGGTCAAACGTACTTGCCGTAATGCCATTTAGAAAAGATGTGTAGGTGTGCAGAAACTCCAGCAAGGTAGGAGCCACGGAAGGGACTTGCTTGCACGCATGCTTGGAGAAGGTTAACTGTACTGATGACTTCCTTCAAAAAACACCCAATACAAACTAGTGAGTAACTAATACCCTGCAGTTTTAATGGCCACAGCATTACTAATTAAGTTTGGATATTGTAAAATGTGTTGTTTGCTTTAAAAAAAAAAAAACTGTCCTGTAGATTATATACAATAGTTAGCATAGATTGTTCTATGTGACAGACATATGAAAGTATAGCTCTGCTTATGCATGGAGTTTTTTTTAGGAAAGATTGAACACAACTGTATATGTGCATGTTTAATAGATAATTCACAAGAGAATTTTTTTCATTGGCTTTATGCAGGCTATAAAATACATTTTCAGTATCCAAAACGGACAAAATTTTATTGATTCTTATCTCATCTACACAATTATTATTTGCCATTAGAAATTAATAAATCATTAGTGACCAGATGTATTTAGAGTACTGTTATTTGTTTTCAAGAAACTGTGTAATTAACAAACTGATACATTGCCTCGTAAAGCAACATAATTTATAAAATCACTGGTTATAAACACGATGCAAGTTTGAAATGTACTGTAAATAGGAGGCAATATGTTACAACTCTCCCATGAAGGGAAGAGTACACTGGTGGTCAAGACTTGAGGTAAACAGCAGTGATGCTCAACATCAAGAACTGTTTGGCTTTTTACGGCAATGCAGGCGATGAGTCACAATAACGTGGCTAAAGTATGATGACAAGACCGCACACTAGAATGTGAAGGCACGACGACGTTTCGGTCCATCCTGGACCATTCTCAAGTCGATTGTGGCAATGTCATCAATAAACTAAATTATTGTCCTTTATCCAGAATGCTTCATTGATGCATATGAAGTTGACTTATTTTTCATTATTGGTGTTTGTTAGGAAGGGTGGTAGGCGTTCTGCAACTTCAATTATTTTAAGTTCCAGATATGTGATAGCAATACTGAGACACTGCATATCTAATCATTTTGTTTATAGATGTGTTCTACACCAGTGCAGTACTTTTAAGCTGAAACCTGTTGATATAAACATAATTAATTTTTTACAAAATATTTCCAAGTCTTGCATTCCCACTTCTTTCAAATCTGTCTCTGTAAGATACCTAAAAAGACACTAACATTACTGTAGCATTGTCTGTAAGACACACCAAAGATGCATTACTATAAGAGTGCTTCTACAAGTGACATATTCTAACCACTATGATATTTGAAGTTGCAAAAGTATAAAACATTAAGTTGGTTAACCCTTCAACTACACAACACAACCAGGGGTGTTCTTGCCATTTATCTATAAACTGTGCATCACAATCAGAGTACCACATAAAATTTAAAACTGCAGGGCTCACAGCTGCTTCCTTGTGCAGACATAATCTTGGAAAAAAAAATTGTGGGCATCCCTCCTGGATGTGGGGACCTACACAAGTAGAGCATGCAATAGCAGCTCGCAACACACCATGCAGCTCGTGTCATCAGCATAAATTAGTGATGAAATAAATAACTTAAATTATTTATCAATGATAGTGACATAAATACACTAACAGTGATAAAGATTATGTACAAGGTTCAGATATTAGTTTATCTGATGCTGTTGATAATGTTCACAGCTCAAGGCAGACATCCAGTGCACACAGCTGTACTTTGATGTGTATACACACATCATAAAATGAGGACCTCATGTTCCTTTAGAAAATAAACATGTGAAAAATGGTTCATATTTAGGATTGATTTATATTTGACCAGGATTCTGATAAGTGCTGTGGCTGGTCAGTGATGGGTGTAGTATGTCGGAAGGCACTTTCATTTTTGTCAGGTGCTGCCAGCAGCTGATAAGCATGTGGCAATATGCTGTGCTTGGATCAATGTTAACGAGATAACCATACCCGCCATAACTTCTTAGTGGTATATAATGGTGCATAAAAATGTAGGTTGTGTATATAACGTGTCTCTACAGTGTACTAACAGCAAAAAGAGTACGTTTTGTTGTTCAAAGAATGTGGTGTGCATATTAGTGACATGAATATGTGTGTGTATTCTATGTTCTACACATTGGGATAATAATGTTATTGACAACCCATTGCAGATGAAAAAAACTATGGTAAAAGTATGACAAATATGAAGAAAATATAATACAGTGGCGCCTCGATTAACGAGTTTAATCCGTTCCGGCACTGAGCTCATCATGTGGAAATCTCGTCTTGTGAAACAACAACAAAACTGTCGTCCGTGTCCAAGAACCAGCGGGAACGCTCGTTAATCGAGGGAAAGCTCGTCAGTCGAGACGCATTTTCTGTGAGTGACTTGCTCATTATTTGAAATGCTCATAACTGGAGGCACGCGTCACTCGAGGTTCCACTGTACATTCAATGCGTGCAGTCACAACTTTGTGCATAATATGCGGAGCTAGGCTGAACTTGGATCACAGGTTACAAGATTATTATACCCCATCAGAACTACTTAGCGATTCATAATGCATCAAAATGTAGGTAATTATATTTAATGTATGTATTAAGTGTAATAACAGCAAAAAACGAATGCTTTATTGTCATGAATATACAGTATTTGAAAATACCAGTGCTCCATATATTTTATTATAAAACAAATTCAAATGAGGCACTATTGAATAATATTACTGCAAAAAAACAAATCAATGTCATTGAAATAAATATGCAAAAAATAACTTTGTGGGAACTTCTGCCACATGCTTGACCCGGGGCGACCTCCATGGAACAAATTGCTTCTAAATGCTCATGAATCGTGACATCTTCAAAATTTCCACGCTCCACGATGGCCAATGTAAATCATATAAATTTATTTTTAAAATTGTTCTTTGATCTGGGAATGCATTTTAACTATTAGAAGGAACAAATTTTACAGAATTTACTTGCACACTAAAAGATTTTCATGGAAATTTGAGTTGGTGGCCAAAGGCAGGTGCAGATGTAACCAAAGGGAGGTGTAGGGAGGTAATGTAGATATAAAAGTCAAACTCCTTTTCATCATGACTTTTACAGCTTTGCTTTCCTTTTTTTTCCACTAACAACAAATTATCCCTAAAAAGCCATATGCATATATTATTCAGTTATAATACTGAATTTATACAAATTTGTTTATTTCCAATTTTTTACTAAAGGGTTTACTTTGAAATATTTTGTCTCGTGTGGATTATCTGTTAATAATGAGATTATTTAATTGTAGTGTAAAATCTGTATGTCACTTAAATGTGAAATAGTGAATAGATTGTTGATAGTACTGTACTGTATTATACTTTTCGATAAATGCAAAACTTAATTGGCAAAATGCTTAATATTTCCCTAGTTTTTATATTTATTGTCTTATGAATGCCATAAATGAAAGTTTAAAATATTTTGCCAATTGGGATTTGCTCTACAAAATGTTATAACTCATTATGTATCAAAGCTGCTGTATACTGAAATTTATCATCAGATAAGAGTTCTGTATACTGTATTGTCAAAATTGTTGAATAGTGTTGTGTTTGAAAGTGTAATGCTGTGGCCATGACGTTAGATGCAGTGCTACCGTAAAGTGCATAGTTAATTGATAAACTGAATGTTTGTAAACCACTGCCGAGGAGCTACATGTTGCGTGTGGAGCCGTCTGGAAATAAACAGGTTTCTCGTTGAGCATGCTCTTAACTTTTCTTTTATAAATTTCCATGTTTTATTTTAGTGTTAATTAAAGTCCTTCTAGATTTAATTTTATTTTATTTTTGTTTTAAAGGATAAACCCATAATTATATGAACTTTAATTTATTATAGTAATTACATTTTTTAAGTTGTAATTGAAGTCAAATGTAGCTTTAACAACATTTTCCCTTTAGTTTAAAAAATCAGAATATTGACAAAAGTGCAGTTTGATGTATGACAAAAAGTTCTTGACATAGCACAGTACAGTAGAAAATTAGAGGAAGACTTGTTAAAACAAACACTCTCCGAGAGTCTTTGCCACATGATTCAGTACTTGAATAAAAAAAAGCCACACAATTAAGATATTAAAGTATATTATAGGGTATCTAGGAGTAATAGGCCCAAATAGGAATGTTTTTGGTTTGAAAGCACTTGTCCATTTATGTATATATTAAAAATTATAGAAATGCATACTCTCAAGAATAAACCTCCCTGAGAAGATCACTGGAAATTGATGTAATAATGAGGGGATGAACAAGAGGTAAGTGAGCCGTCTACACTGTTAAGTCGTTGCACCTACCTTTCAGGGAGCATAATGAAGTAAACATGTTTTTAATACTTGCTTTACGTAAGGTTGGGTTCTTGCTCTGTTCTGCGGTATTAAACACCAGAGAGAGATCAGCATTGTGTTTCACAATCACACTTGACAGTCATAGATTTTGTTGTCCAAAGCTTTGGTTCACTTTCTTACGTTTACACCTACAGGTATACGATTTTAAATCGACTTTCATTTTGATTTTCATATTTTACATCTCATGAGAAGAACTCAACTTTATTGCCAGGAACCATCTGTTTGTCAAAAGATGCAGCTGTTTTATATAAGATCACATGATCTTGTTACAATAAAGTGATTATGAGGTGACTACATCTCCCGTGTATAATGTTTATGGTGCATGTATATTCATTGTTTCCCTGCATGATGAGTATATTGTATCATACTTCAGTCTATATTGCCAGAATATTTTAGTAATTAATTATGAATTCATCTTGTTAAAATTAATTATTTTTCAAATTCAGTTAAGTTAGTACAGTATACTGCACACCTTTTTAAGTTCAGATATTTAAATTCAGATAATAATTCAGTAGCAGTGCAATATTTAAGTAAAAGAAATAAAGGTTGGTATATATTTGTTCATAGACCTTTGTCAAGAAATGGTCCTTAACATTTGATGATAATTCAACATTGGATGTTTATAGTAATTAAGATAGTTAATACTTTGTTATTTTAGATTCTATATTTATTTGATGCATATGTGTGAGGAGACCCTTATAAGTTAATGAGTGTAGACTGATTCATTAAGATAGGTGTAGACTTATAAAGAGACCAGTCTGGGACACTGGGACCTCATCTTCCTCTGTACTAATGTGTGTTTTGCCCCCACACATCTGCAGAAGAAGATAATGATCATGGTGTGTGTGTCGGTTCTGTGTGTTGTCCTGAGTCTCAGCGGCGCCTCCTACCTGGGCCTAATCTAACCTTCTACTGCTTCGTTGTAACTAAATTAATAACTCTACTACCCCTCTACTGGTAATGAGCCTCCAGTGAGTATATGTCTTTAACCTCTCTCTCTCTGCAGGGAATGACAACTGAGTGGTTTTGCAAAGTGCCTCCCCTGCAGTTTCTGGCCCTCCAGCATGTGGAAGGTTCCTCTCTTCCTCTACTTTTTTCTATTTTAGGGATATCAGTCTAATACCACTTAGGTGCTGGATACTTCTTAAGCATTTACTTTTCAATTTTCCTTGCCAGAAAGATTGTACAAATTAAAATGAAAAGTACAGACTTCCAGTGGCAAAAAATTTTTTTTTGAGTAGTTTGAGTAAATAAGAGCCAGCTTGTCAAGTGGTGTTGAGTTATTATACTTTTCTCTATCCCTGCAAAACTTTTCACTTCTGTACCCCTAGGCTCATCCACCCTCCCTCTTTTCTTCATATGCAATCAAAATTTTGAATATTATTTTTTTTTTAAATTAGTGAATGATCATTAAAAAGTCTTAATTTCTATAATTAGATTTTTAGTTTGATTTTCATTCTTATATAATACATATTCACAGAATTGCTAATGAAGGTTGTTCGGCACTTCACTGGCAGTTGTTGTTTTTACTCTTATTCTTCTTGGCATGATAAAAGCTTCCCGTCTCTAGTGTTCTCCCCGGCCTCTTCTCTCTCTACCTTTTTAAGGCCACCCACCTGGAATGCCTTTGATGTGGTGTAAAAACTTTTAAGAAAGAAACTAGGAAGTGGTTGTTGGGCCAAGTTAGTGTTTATGTCTTGAATTTTAAGACAACTGTTGGTTAGTTTTCTCTCATAGTGACAATTAGCGATAGTTATCTCGGGCATGATCCTGCTTGGCACACAATAAAATTTACATTTTTCTTTCTTACATTTTTTATCCCACAACTAGTGACCACCCCAGGATGAACACTGTTACCGCAGCAGGTGCATGGGTTCCACTGTCCCAGTCTAAGGTAGCCAAATAGTAGCTACATTCTGCTTAATCAGGCCTCAGTAGAGAGGTGGTGAACTTTCTAACCTTCATGGAGGTTTGTTTTATCCCTGTACGTACCTTTTTTTATGATTTTTTAATGAGCAATGTGCCTGTGCACCCCTTGCAGAAGAAGATCATGATCATGGTGTGTGTGGCAATACTATGCGTGGTGCTCGCTTCCACCATAGGAGGCTACTTCGGCTTGTAACTCATCCTTCAGTCATCTTGTAAGTATGGCAAGTCAAGAGTGATGTCCCATGCTTGCGCTGGAAGAGACAATTTGCTGCGTTCTTGCATTAGATGATGATACCAAATGGCACAATTTAAATATTTGGATATCTTTTTAAGTACAGTAATATTAAAAATGGTAATGGCAGCAAGTTGAATACATCAAATATAAACAAAATTTAACGTGTTTGTGAATTGATGTGTACATAAACTCTTCTGGTGCTGGCATGGTTAACAACTGTTTTGTGATTGTGGTAGTAATTGGCTGTACCCATTTGTTTTGTTTTGAATAAAAAGACAACGTAATAAACTAATCACTGAAGACAAATTCATATTACAAACGTGCTTAGTTTATAACTTTACAAGGCAAAAGTATAAATTAGATGTCAAAATCTTAGTAAGATATGAAGTCAGTTATTATACACTTGTTGAGCATTCATAAGTCACATTACCCATCAAATACAAGGTAAGTTTTCTTTTACTGGTTTCCTGTCTTTTTGCACCTTCATGTGTGCTTGCTATATTTCACTTTAAGTATCCAGCTTATCCTTCATGAAAACAAGATGCCCATTTATTATAAACAGGGTAGAAACTAAAAATTGCTATGCATTTCTTTGCAAATGGGATATCCTGTTTTCCTTTTAAAGTGTGTTGGTATGTATTTACATTTTTTTACATGGAAAATTGTCCCTGTGTGATGTACTGTATTATTCATTCATTCATTCAAATTAATTAATATGAATAATGATTGCTTTTTAAGGTTTATTGGTTTGCTATTTGAAATGTTTTATACCTACTATTGATGACAAAATAGTTTTGTAACACAGTAGTACATTTTATATTGGTTCCTGATGGAGCCATTATGGTTCTTTTATGGTTTCCTTGCCATTTGTTCTGTTTTGAGTGACCAATAGATTACAATTCTATAACAATGCCTTCAGTTCACAGTTAAGTTTAGAATTGGTGTGCTTTAATTAACTGGTGGTGCACATCATACAGTACTCGAGGTGGTGCTGCCCTTTCGTAGAAACTAATTGTTTGCGATTTCATGAAGACTAGTTTCAAATCATTTTTTGATATTGTAATATAATAACCAATGCACTTGTAAGTGCTTTAAGGGCCAGTTCTGTTTGGGAACCTACATTCTTGAGAGATCTCTGTGCAATATATTAGTTTTCTTCAATAAGATTTTACAGGTCTTAAACATTGGCATGGTCTTGTTTGACATTGTGTGGCATTTGGGTAATGTCTGCTAGTATCTACTTTGAGATCAAAATACAGTACCTAATATTTGTTTTAAATTGTTTTCTGGGTAATATCTTTATGGCAAAAGTAATTGTTTTGAATATAATACAAATGCAGTCATTTATTTCTGAACTATTCTAACTTGTTGCAATCGGGGAAAGTCTACATTCTACACTCATATGATGGGGAAACTTTTCAAACTTTGATGGGCCATATTAGTGTTTGGAAAACTGGAGGTAAATTTAGGTAAACTTTTCCCCACTATACATCCAGCTCTCGATATATAGTGGAGAATGCTCAATCCAGCCCTGGATGTATTTACCTTTTTACCTGAGGGCCACTAATACTAGTGGCGTCGATGAGGACAGGAAGCCATCAGCTTGTCAAACGTCCCCCCCCCATTTGCCCTGATGATTTTTTCCAGTTGTATAGGGGAAAACTGGAGAATGCTGAATACAGCCCTGAATACAGATAGAAAATGCTTTATGTAAACACAGATCACCCATGCTACACCATAACTAACATCCACACCACCCACTAAATCACTAACACCAGTTTTCAGCATCAACACCACAACACAGCTCTTAAGTTCAGTCTTTTCATCCTGATTTACCTTGACTGCAGAATGTAGGTAGGCAGAAACAGTGCTTTAAATGAAGTGGCTTGTATTATTGTAAGCTGCTTGTTCTTGCAGTAGGTTTTGCTGCAATAGTGAATTCTTCTTACAACTATGTAAGTGTACTTAAAGGATAAAAGCTATGATCTTAGTGATCTGTTTTCCCAGTAACCTTTGTCATATGAAGATTTGAAGATTTTGATGATTTTAGCTTGCATTACCCTCTTATTAAAATGATTTCTTACAGCTATCACTGTCAATTGGCATTTTTTTTGTTTTTTAACTTGAGTTTTTAGGAAAGCCCTCCGTAACTCCAAGTTAATCACTGGTTCAGCCATACCTTGGGAAGATTTACTAGGTCTCCAAGCATTCCAGAATCTGGAATGCTCGATTATTTGGGTATTGATTGTCAACCTAAAACCGAGAAAAAATCCAT